AAGTGAAATCGGCCTTGAAGCCATTCCCGAAAGGACCGCTGGCTCGAATCCTCAGAGGGCTGTTGTAATTGTGCATTGACCGAATCACCGGATTTGTTGTTTACTTGCAGCGCCATACTAGCGTTTGCTTACCCGAAGGTAGCCAGAATGAAACTGAACAGACATCCTAATACTTTATGAGTGCAGGAGACCTCATTTTGAAGTTTCAAAATAATAATGCCAGACGTCACTGCTCGTGATATAATCGTTCAATCAGGCCGTCTTTTTAAGTCTGCAGCGCTGACCTGATGGGGAAATATTGATATAGTCTTTGTGATGACGTCGCAAGCAAGATCTATAAAAAATCGTCTGAGATGTTGTGCAAATGAGAGTGCAGGATATGGATTCGTGTATGCATCTATCCTTGAGAATAGCAGCGGTGGCTTGAAAAGAGGAACGTGCCGGATGATCTTCGACGCATGTGGCTTCGTCCCGTGATTTTAGTTCTTCTCTAGCCCATTCACGCAACGGACTAACGGAGTATATACTCCATCGGCTAGTTGCCCATGTTCAAGATTGTATGTTGCGCGACAACAGGGCCAGGACTAATTTGATGTGTACGGGACTATGGGTATTTCGACCGCATATTAAGCATGCTCCGTTGGATTTGAACCGATCATACCATTTTGCAACGATGTTTGGGATGCAATGAAACGGCCAAGATGTCTCCAGTGAGGGCAAAAGGTGTCTCGATGCCTTTGAGAACACTCTGATACGAGCAGCCTGATTATTCATAACAAGGAAACATTTTCTCTGACTCCATTGATATCATAACGAGCTAACGGGCAAATGTCAATGTGATATCTCGCTCAACGATGGACGTTTGTTGTCTTCCGGTTGATGCCTGAGGCTGAACATCTAGTTAGTTAAGCTCCATGTGCTGACATAGCATAACCCCCAGTTTGGACCCACTCTATGAGGCATCAACTCCGCCGAGCTCCAGGACATCTGTTGTTCCCCCTCACGGTTTATAACTGATTTGCCTTGAAAGCGCCAGAGCTGGTCTCACTATGGTGTCGGAGGATGATGGCATTAGCCCTCGCAAAAGGAGGAAAATCACCTCTCCAAAAGCAGCCCCTTATGTGCTCCGGTCCCTGTTAGACCAGGTGCCCTTGTCCGCCGAAGATCCCACGCCTGACGATGTCTACATCACCTGTGTTGAGTACTGGAGTAGGCTCTGAACTCCCTGCTCTGTACTTCCGGAAGAGAAAGTCAACTGACAATTTTTGCTCCTCAGATGATAATCTGTACATCGGTACTTCCTCTGCTGAGATCCTTCATTTCGTCTGCCTTCCACCGGACCCATCTGACAGGTCGAACGAACCGTCCTTCATCCTGGCCTCAAGACTACCCATTCCATTCTCGCAAAATGCCTCGTTGGCAACGAAACACCCTGGGATTCAGCAAATTGTTCTGCTTCCAACAGTGAACAAAGCATGCGTGCTCTGCAACGGGACGGTTACGTTCTATCTGCTACCTGAGCTCAGCCCGGCATTCAATAATACAAAAGTCAACAACTGTCGCTGGATCGGCGGTCTTGACCTGAATGCAGATACAAGCTGTACTGAACCGCCCGTTGTTCTGATCGGAGCGCAAAGTAGAATGATGCTGGTTAGGATTGGGGACGATGCTCGACGCATCAGAAACATTGAGTTTCCCGGCTGTCTCATGGCATTGCGAAGAGGAACAATTGCCTGTGCTGCTGACTCGCATGCCTACTCATTGCTTGATGTGGAGCATCAGCAAAAGATACCTCTATTTCCTATATCCTCGTCTAACGAAGCGTTCGAATCGGGCCATGTGGAGGATATGCCCTCAGCCCCGTCTCCAACACCTCAAGGAAGCCGCACTCATGCCAGAAGCTCTAGCTCGAATACACTTGTTGGTATGCTTCAACCGAATCCGCCGTACCTTCAGCACGATCGGTCGCGCTCTGCGACGCCTGAACTCTCTCCCGGTTCCGGGACGCCGAGACGATCAATTTCGCAAGACCGAAGCCGCAGTGCATCGCCGCGAACATCTGTCGAAAATCGAGCAGGCGAGCCACAGCCTGGCTCCGTTAGTGACGCAAAACCGCTTCCTCCCTTGCCGAAGCAGCTAAAACCTCACATTGTGTCTCCGACACCATCGGAATTTCTGTTAGTTACCGGAACAGAAGAAAAAGAACCTGGAGTTGGCATGTTTGTCAATCTAGATGGAGACGTCGTACCGCGTGGCACGCTCAATTTCCACCGTTACCCTGAGTACATTGTAATCGATAGCGGCGAAGAAAACAACCTTGTCCAGTCGATTGAGAATACGCACGATCAATACGTCCTTGCGGTCATAGAGACAGATCGAGATGGGAGACGCTGCAAGTGGTTGGAAGTTCAACCGTGGGATGTTGATCCGAGGGAAGAGGAGAATCCTAAGAGCTGGGTAGAGATACCTTCGGCCGAGGACATGCCTTCGTGTCCTGTGGGAATCTGTCATACAATGAGCTCCAGTCGACTCGAATTCGGTGAACTGGGGCGCCTGTTACAGATGGTCCGACTGAAGACGCCCTCCTTGTCTCCTCACCTACCGGTGACAGATCCGAGGACCCAGGCATCCATTGAGCAGCTTCAGAAGGAAAAGGAATTGTTCGAGTCCCAAGAATTGACTGATTCCGAAGGATTAAGGAAGGGCGATGGGCCATCGGAGCGGGGGTGGGAAGCAGAACGCAATAACGAAGAAGCCAAATTCGCCCGGACTCTGGGTCAGGCTCAAAGCAGCTTAATGATGTGGTCTGGGCGTCGGATCTGGCGAGTGATTCGAAATCCATTGACAACACAGCTTGATGGTGCTTTACAAAATGCCCAGGGTTCAAAGGAGCTCATGTACGGAGATTTGAAAAGGGATCCCATTCTGGATGTTTTTGAACAAGTTCAGGTTGCCGAGCCGCGCTCTGAAGCCGAGTTCTTAGGACTCAACTTCCTGAAACAAAAGTCAAGCCTCCTTCTCTTTGCTGACCTGATCTTCATGAATGCAGCTGCTCGAAAGGAGGCGGCCGTCCAGGTAACGGAAAGGGTGCTGATCGCTGGAGGGTTGGATCCGCGGATTGTTCTCTTGTTGATCCCACAGCTGCGTCAAGAGGTCTTGCAGGGCCCGCAAGGTATCTGGGTCCATGGAGGGCTAGCGCAGATCGCAGAGGTTTATCTACAGCGCCTGGAAAAGGCAGACGAACAATACAAAGATCTCAATGCTCTCGATGATGAAGTCGTGAACATGATCAAGCGCTTTCTCCTTTCATGGCAGCAGAAGAGGGGATATGGTAGCATCGCTGATGAAACCTACGTCTTTGACAGCGTCGATGCAGCTCTCTTGCATTTGCTCCTGGAACAGGATTCTCAATTGGCAAAGAAGCAACCTTCGGGCTCTCCAATCCGCGCGGAGCTGAATAAGCTTGTTGATACCTGGAAAGGCAGCTTCGACAGGGCTGTGATACTGTTAGAGAGTTATCGCAGACTATACGTTCTCAGCCGGCTGTACCAGAGCCAGAAAATGTCCAGAAATGTTCTCAAGACATGGCGAAGAATCATCGAAGGAGAAGAAGATGTGGGTGGGGAGGTGACTCGACCGGGTGTGGAAGCGCAGATGCGCAAATACCTGGTCAAGATCAAAGACGCACAACTTGTCGAGGAGTACGGTTCATGGCTTGCTGGGCGTAACCCTCAACTTGGAATCCAGGTCTTCGCAGACAAAACAAGTAGGGTTAAGCTCGAGCCGGTTGATGTCGTGAAAGTGTTGAAAGAGCGCGCACCCAACGCAGTCCAGGTGTATTTGGAGCATCTCGTTTTTACCAAAAATGTAAGTTCTAACATGCTTTCTTCCTGGTACACGTTTTTTCGAACGCCTAACACATGTAGTACACGCAATATGCGGACGACCTTCTCTCTTACTACCTGGATACTGTCCTATCAGTCCTCGAGTCCTCTTCCGCCGCTCGGGAGTCTCTTGCCGAATCCTACTCGACCTACCGCGCCCTGCGGCCCCCTAAACCGACGTACATGAACTTCATAATGGAAAACACTCCCTCCGAACCTTGGTGGCAGTCACGACTTCGGCTGCTGCAGTTGCTCGGCGGAGGGAGCAGTAGCCAATTCTCTTCGATGCCATCACCCTCCAATCTCACATATTCCATTCCTGCGGTCCTCGCCCGGATCGAACCCTTTCAGAATGAACTCGTTTCCGAGTCGGTGATCTTGGATGGATTGCAGGGCCGCCACCGGGAGGCCCTCCGCCTTCTCACTCACGGGCTGGGCGACTATGACTCTGCCGTACGGTACTGCCTCTTTGGCGGACCTCGCAGCACCAGCTCAGCAGGGACGGTCCAACTCGTCGACAAGTCACATCAGTCCGAGCTCTTTAGGTATCTTCTCGACGAATTCCTTCAGATCCAGGACGTGTCCGAACGTATCGAGCGGACCAGTGATCTCCTGGCACGGTTCGCCGCTTGGTTCGACATCAAGGACGTCCTGCAGCTGATCCCCGATGATTGGAGCGTGGATATCCTCAGCGGATTTCTGGCGCATGTCTTCCGGGTCCTCGTTTCGCAGACGCGAGAAGCGCGGATCGAGCGGGCTCTCAGCGCGAGTTTAAACTTGCGCGTTGGCGCGGAGTATATTGAAGGAATGGAGAAAGTTGGTGGGTGGGTGGAGGATGATTCGGGGGTGAGAAGGTTGAAGGATGCAGCAGCTGGTGATGCAAACAGAAATCCGGCACTGGTGCAAGTGGCCGACGACGGAGGTGAATTCGGGGATCTGGTGGAGGCTGGACAACCAGGGCCCTGATATGTGTGTACTGACCTCATTGTATATACCATCCCTACGACGACTCTTGTAATGAACAATGCGTGTTATACTCATGATCACATCTCGCAAGACAGTCAATATGTACAGGTAGAAAATGTGCAAAGAGACGAATCTCAAAATGACTGCTTTTCAATCCAGGTCCGGCACCGGTAACCCATTGACGATGCGAACCTTCCGGCCCAATTTATCCAGCGCCTCCTTGGAGTTCTTTGCGCGCAGATCAGCGGTTTCGTGATCGGTGACAAGAACAAAATCGTAGGTGAGCAGGGCGTGGTCTTCGGGCACGTTATACTTCTTTGCGTATTCGGGGCCCGCCTTGCCGATATCCACGACGAGGGAGTCCTTGACGCCGAAGACAGCGTCGGAGGTCTCGTAGGGGTCGTTTCGGAGGTAAAGAGCCCTACCCCGTTCATTAGCTCCCGTTTCACTTTGTTGGATAGGTAGAGAAGAAGAAAGAAGAACATACGTGATCAAATGATCATAGCCGTCCTTCTCGAACATGAAATGCATATGCGAGGGGCGATACGGATGCCGGTGCAGCTTCTTCAACAGCTTACCCACCGGCCCATCGTGCGGAATCGGATACGGCACGGGCGTGATAGCATTGAACCAGAACACGCCGTCCTTGTCGCTGCGCATGATGCAGCGCCCGTCTGGCCCCTCGCGGCCGGGATACTGCACGTCGTAGTGGCCCGTTGAGTCGGTCTCCCAGATATCGATCTTGACGCCCTCGAGCGGGTGGCCGTTTGTGTCTTTGATGGTGCAGACGACGAGGAGCGGCTCGCCTTTGGGATCGTGGGACATCAGGCCGCCCTGGGTGATCTCTTCGGCTTCGTGGGTGTGGAAGGGGCCGAGGACGGTGCCTTCGGTTGAGCCGGGGGGTTTGGGGTGGTCGATTGAGTCGACGAGGATGGAGAGGCCGAGGACGTCGGAGAGGAGGATGAATTCCTTTTCCCTTGCATTAGTTTCTCTGTGTGTGTACTATCATGTTATGAAATGCTAGAGTAGATACGTACCTGTCGTACATCAGAGGAGATCTGGCCCACCTCCTTCAAGAAGTTGAGTCCGGTCATCCATTCCTGGGAGCTGAGTCGGGTCTCCCGGGCAAAGTCATGGAGATGCGTAACCAGACGCTCGAGGACGTATTTCATGCGCTCATCTTCGCAGAGGGAATTGATCCGGATGACGTTCTCGGTGATGTTGTCGACCGTGAGGTCTTTCATAGGGGGGATCTTGACTTGTGAGGGGTCCATAATGGAGTTTTGGAAAAAAAAAAGACGGAACGATCGAATGGGTATATGAGGGTATGAGCAATTAACAAGAGTCTAAAGACGAGGCGAATGCTCAATCTCATAAACAACGGGGACCACCTGGTTTAATAGACCAGACCCATCAGCCCATCGTCTAAGAGGCAAGGAGGAAACACCACCCCGCAATGACCACCGGTTTGTGAGGGGAGCTGAGGAGCCGATGGACGGATGGGTAATAATTGTATAAGCAAGGGCTTGATTGACCTGGTCCATCATTGGTCTGGTCAAAGAATCGGAGCTACTGGTTTCCGGCAATACCCCACAAAGACTATTACTTCCGAGATGTTGGGTAACCTGCTTCTTGAGATAATTGCACGGTTGCACCTATGACAAGATCATCATTAACATCATACTCTGAGTGTGATCCTCCGGTCGGAATTCCCCCGGGTGTGGTTCCCCTTTTGGGCGTTCTGCCGACTTTTGCTCGAAGCGGTCAGCATGCGACGACCAATCAGTGCCTCAGGCATGCAACCGCCTGCCTCAGGCGGTCAGGCCTCACTCGTTTTCATGCCGATCGGAAGCAAGCTTCTCCACTGCGCCCCGAGTCAGACTAAATCCAGATTGCTTGCGGGGTGTCCCACTTCGTATTAGATGAGATGATCGTTGATTGTGATCCTGAGTAAGTAATTGGAAAGTCTACCTATATTCAATAGTCCTTGTCATCCTGTGTTGCCCTTATGAATCCCTCATCGAGATACAGCTGCGTCAATGCCTATCTCCCATTCATGGCACCAGCTGTGCTTCACTCCATCAGTCCCACAACAGATTCCTCAGCGGGTAATGTCTTTTCCTGCCGGTTAAGTCCCAGCCGACATAGCTCTCTACACGGACCGTTAACTTGGGGTCAAAAGGTGCCAGACTGCCAATTTATAAAGAATATAGTTGAAATACAAACACCGAGGGATATCCGCTGAAGTCGCTCAAACAGTACAGACTCAATAGATAAGTACAGAAATCGTTCCCCTAATCAAACATGGATCTCGATGCCCGCTCAGATCCCCAAAAGTTATGAAGAAACGACACCAAGTCGCAAGGACAAGAAGAGAAATGAGCTTAAGCTCTCACTAGCTTGCGTTCTCGTTCTCGATCACCGTTCATCTGCTCATGGCCATTTTCCTTGACCGCAGCGGCCACTCGCGCATGATGGTCCACGGTGTCCATGATCGCTTGCATAAGCCGGGAGTTGGCGTCTGGATCGTCATCGTCCGGCACTGGATCGTTGTTGCGATTGATGCTGACGCGTCGGTCATGATTACCCATCGCGCTACCGTGGATCTCACTCATTGCACGTCGTGGAGTGGTGTCCTTGAACGATGGGGTCCCCGGCGCGGCTCCCCCTGTGGGCGCGGAGTCTCTTCTACCGTTGTAGCCCACACCGCGCTCCTCTCGTGACCGGTCGTGCTCTGGAGCGTGAGCCACAGACGCCGGGGTCGGTGCAGCAGACGTGGTGTTCATCGACATCGACACGACACCAGGGGTTGGAGCCGAGGCGAGAGTGGGGGCAGCCGGAGAGTCTTTCGACTGAGCGCTGTCTCCGAGTTCACGAGGAGTGCCATCCTGCCGCGCCTCGCGCAGTTCCTCCTCCTTGACATCCTTCCAGGAACACTTGGCATGCTTTTTCGTGCAGCCCATGCACGCTGTCAAATTCTTCAAACAATCCATGTGGAGCCGACGGCACCGATCGCAGGGTGGGAGAATACGCTCTCCCCGTTGCAACTCCTCCATGCGGGCAACCATTTCCATCTTGAAGGGACCGCCATCATCCTTCTCCATATGGTTGGACTTGGGCGGAGGCAATAACGATGACGGCGTACTGGGAATCGCGACGGTAGTAGGGGTAGGGTTGAACATATTGTAGTCCCCAGCGTCCGACGCTCTCGGTCGCGGCCGTGACGACTGTCGGTTAACTGATCCAGTTGACTCTTCGTAGCTGCGCGCCTGCCGATCTTGCGTAGTGAAAAACTTCTTCATCAACTCGGCACGTGTCGTAGGAGATGCGCCTTTGATGGATGTTCCATTGATGATGGTAACATTGTCTGTGTTTGAGTGGGAGAACATAAACTGCGACGACAGCGCGTTTTCCTCCACAGGGGGTTCTCCGGGATTTGGACGGGCGGTATTCACTGCGACAAATCCGGTGGGAGGGGAGTGAGCGTTGGACGGAGGATTGCCATTCAGCGGGGTTGGTACAGCGCCGGTGGCCTCGCGCCAAATCGGGCTGAGCGAACGAGGCTGCTGTGGTTGTGGTAGTTGATGGGGTTGGGGCGGGTGATGGGCCTTGAGAGAGATGTCATTTTCCCGGCGCGTGACAATAGCCGTTCTGCGATTTTTCAGACGATGGTTGAGCTGTCTGGTTCGAGCCGATACTGCAGTAAGAACACTAGTAAGCTTCCGGCGCCGTAGAAGTGAGACCACATGGGCGCATTTGAAGGGAGTCATGAACCAACCTTGATCGGCAACCTGAATAATCTGCTGCAAATTCTTCTCCAAGATCTCCAGCGCACCCAATTCTTTCTCCTCGTCCTCGATGATCGGCTGCGGCGGGATCATCTTCTGTGGCATCCCGGATGCAATGAGCACATAATCTTCCTCGCTGATCTCAACTCGGCACTGCTTGGTATAGAACTGGCAGACGCGCACTCCATTGCGCGACTTCTCCAGGTTGAACTGTTCCGGTTTGCTCTTCGCGAATTCAACGACATCCAACCAGGTGATATTGGGTGCTTCTTTACCGTGCGTCTTGAGTACCCGTGGAGGCCCGTCAAAGAGGCGCTCGAAACGCTTGATCAGGATGGGTCCCAGAGGACATGCGCCGAGATTACCCGCAATACTCTCGTGGCGATGAAGCACGCCATCATATTCGCCGACTAGGTGTAAAATAGCTGGCATAGTATCATCGAGAGAGACTAGAGGCAGATTGTCCGGGTACTGACGAGCGAGGTAGTTGATCTGGAGATGGTTCGAATGGTTCTTAGGCACTTTGGATGCAATCGGATGGTAGTCGCCGGACGGGGATCTGGGCCGTTTGTTCGACGGCTCTGCCGCCGCTGGGGGTCTGGGCTCCATGAAGATGTGCAGCGTGGGATTCAATGAATCAGCCAGGGGAGGAGGATAGGTGAAATGACCAGAAAGATGGTAAAAGGGATCTGTATCAGGAGTTGATGCCGGCTCGCGAAGATCGAAACCAGAAAATCAAGCGTTTGCGGGGATCGAGAGAATTAGGCAATGAGGGAAAAAAAAGTTCAAATAATGGCGATCGAGGGACCAGACGGAAGTTGGTGGGCGATGGCGGAGCATACGGCGCCAGCTGCGGATTCCAAAGTAGCCACTGGGCAGCGAGGAAATGGTTCGAGTTAGGTAATAAGGAACCCCCAACAAACAATTAATGGAGTAAGGGTGGGTGACCAAGAAGGCGGAGAGTATGCAGGACGCAGAAAGCGGCAGAGCAGATTCGACAGGAGAAATAGAACCAGAAAATGACAGCAGCTAAGGTGAGTGCTGAAGAAAAAAATGTTAGGACATGAAAAGGGGGGCAGAGAGAGAAAGAGAGAGAGAGAGGAGAGGACAACAGGAGGAAGAGGAAGAGGAGGTGGAGAGGCGGACGGGATGGCTTAGAGACACAGTGACAGGCCAATTAGTCGTTGTTGGGTATCTAAGCTGACAGGTAGATAGTAGGTAGATAGGTAGGTACGGAGTACGGCCGGGAGTACTGTCGTCTGTAGATGGACAGATAGGAGGGCGTCGGGTCGGGAATACCTATTCCTAACGAGCACGGGTTGGACAAAGAAGAGTGGATGGGATGGACGGCCAGGGAGAGGGAAGTTGGGAACAAGGATGGAAGGGCGCTATTATTGGACCATCTGAATGGCCACAAATACCTGATGACGATGGGAAACGAAGATGGGATTGGTGCTGGCGCGGATGGCGGAACTGGAACCTCCTCGGAGTCCTTCTACTAGGTACTATCCAGGACTCTAGATAATTATTGCCTTAGGCCATAGATCGCTGAAGCAGACATGGGTGCGATCGGAACCGTAGGCAGACTTATAGAGCAGGGATGATGATCATCAAGGGATAAATAAAAGTACTGGTGAGAATGCGATGAGAAAACAAGACTGACAAGACTCTTAGAGTTGCTTGCGTTGTCCAGTTGTCCAGTCTCCCATTTCGATGCTTTCCATTCGACTCATAATGGGAAATTGGATTCTTGCAAACGTCAGGGAGCGGAGTCCCGCCGGCCTATTCCGCTGGCCATTCGGTGTAGCTCGGGAGATCGGAAAAGACGGGTAATTACCGTACAGCCCAGCACTAGGTTCCTGTAAGGTACGGAGTACTTGGTATCAACATTTCCTCCGCATTCCAGAGGATCATGGATTATTTGTATGAAATAGATGACGGGACAATTCCATTTGAAGGGGTAACGATGAAAATCCATACAGATGATCAAAAGTCGTCATGGCAGTGACTAGACAGCACTCCGTAATCGTTCTTGAAGCCGATGGGGGACTCAGTTGGCCAGAACCCCTTGCGGACGGCCTGGGTCAACGGACCTGGCAGTTCCAGACACGTTGTCGGGATGACGCGACAAGAGCGATTTATCGCTATCACGTCCATTCAAACTTGTAGAGTCAGCCTTGATGATCCTTGGCAAATCGGGATCAAATAGTTTGTATGCCATCTGAGACCACAAAGTACAAAGTATATTGATCATATCTTTAAAGTCTCATCATTCAAAAGCAGGAGATTCTGACAGAAAACAAGGGGATGAAGTTGCGCTCCGCCCCTCTCGTTGGTGTAACATTACTCCGTACATTCAGGGTAATACACATTCTGCCTAAAAAATTGTTGCCTAAGGTTGACAATTTGGCCCAACCAAAAGTCGGACATTTGCCTGCTTCTCCACTGTGTTGCAGCGGAACAAGCAGCGAAAGCGGCATAGCACAGATTACACCGGGAGTATTGACGCGGTATGGGCTTGTATGACACAGGACATCAAGGTAAGATTACCAGCTGCTGAGTTCCATTGAGGGAAAAAAGGCCCAGTACATACCGCCAGAATGCAAAAATGTCAAGTGACTCGGCCAAATTTTCTTGCTTCCACCAGTGATTCAGTTCTGTTCTCCATATGTGGGCAACACAATCTGGACACGACCTTAGGTAGACCTATTATTACCGCCCATTCTGTTTACCCCTCGTCCCCTCTTCGAAAATCCCTCATACTCATACCTACCTACCTTACCCATACTCAACTGAACATCCGCCTATCACGGTTATCTCCTTGTAAGTTGCAGGTGACTCCCCTCACTGGTACTAAGGTACTCTCCCCCTCGGATCATCCTCCTCCCACACCCTGCCTGCACTTTTGAGAGCTCAGGGCAGAAAGCTAAGGTCGGGTTACGCCCCTCTTTCTGATCTTGCCAGCACATCCCGTCCAATTCAATCCATCAATTCAGATCCCCCCTCGTTCTTGTTCTTCCGCGCGCGTCCCACCTCCTTGCCCCCCTCTTCTCTTCTTATCTTTTAACATTTTTATTATTAAGCCAGATCAAACCAATTTCAAACCATTAGAAAACACCGCCAATTAAATAAACAAATTCTTTAGATCAGATCACCAGGCAAGCCAGGCTAGCCAAGCCATGTCCGAACGAGGCTCTTTCCGAGGTGGTCGTAGCCGCGGCGGAGGTCACGACAGGTCTGGCGGCCGTGGCGGTGCTCACTCCTCCCAGCACAGGGGTGGCGGTGCAGGTGGCGGTGCACAACAGCAGCAGCAGGAGAAGCCCAAGAAGGAGAATATTCTTGATTTGTCCAAGTATATGGACAAGGAGGTGAAGGTGAAGTTTAATGGAGGACGAGAGGGTGAGTTTGTCATCAACTGATTGTGCTTCTTGCCTACTGAAATCGATTCTAGTCAGCGGTATGCTCAAGGGTTATGATCAGCTCATGAACCTGGTGTTGGATGATGTCAAAGAAAGCATGCGTGGTAAGTGACTGAACAGCATCTCAAGGCTGGATGGAGTGTCTAACATCCTCTATCTAGATGACGAGGGAAATGAAACTACCCGCTCCCTTGGTCTCATCGTCGCCCGTGGCACTCTGATTGTGTTGATTTCTCCGGCCGACGGCAGCGAGGAGATCGCCAATCCTTTCGTCCAGCAGGAAGAGTAGAATAGCCGAACGTATCGATTTCTGCAAGAAAGTGAAAGATCCTTCTCATCTTGTCGTCTCGTCAAACTCTTCGTGAAGAAAGTGCGGACCTCTTGTGATACACAACGCCCGCGCTATCGGCTTCGATCCTGCTTTCCTTTGTGTGTCGTCCTCCAGAGCTCGTCCTGGAAGGTCATTTGTCTTCGACAACGCAGTGAAAGAAATCGTAGGGCCAATCCTTCACCCTTTCGCATATACATCGAAGGCTTTTGCAGCATGAAGATGTGCCTGTGTCAGGAGAATGGGATTCCCAAATCATGCAAATATGGGATTCATGGATGACTGCATCTTGTGCGTCTGCCTTTGATCCAGCATACAATGTCATGTACTAGATATACAATACTTTGAACTCATGAATCAACGCATCAACATATCTCACTCATGCGTGGCAGAGACATGTCCGACTGAATGCCTCAGGCATCTATTAGTATACTAGGCCCGTCAGGAAGCAAGAGTATCCACTTAGGATCGTACAGACTGATCAACCATAAGTCTACAACACTGCAACAACTTAACAAGACTGCATTGATCAGCTAATAATAACAATTCATCTGAAGCGATCTTATTTTTATGCAACAAGCCCAGATCCTACTGGCACAGAGAATCTGACCCTGACCTTACATCACCCCTATGTGCCCTACAGCTGTTGCTGTCGTCATGGAATCCCCACAGCCCAAAGCTAATCTAATTATCTACTCGTCGTCTCAGACTCAAGTACGAATACGAGTTGCACTGGGCTAGAAGTGATTGGGTAAGACTGTCAGTGACATGGGATTCATGGAATCATCCTTGTTCGATGAAGGTCTGGCTGATCCTTTCGATCGCCCATTGATTGATTATTGGGTTGAACTATGCAGTGGACTGTAAGCGCTTCCGAAGATTCCACCTTCGGCTTCGTCATCATACTATCTGATATGGTGTGATTGAGCCCATTTAAATATGGTCTGTGGCCCTGGTAAGTTCAGCTCCGTGTTTATATCATATTTTATCTTCTTGTGTATATGTTTGTGTGAAAGAAAAGTTAGCGACTGACGATATGAAGCTCTACCATCTCTTGCCAGTACTCTCGCTCTGTGCCGCCATCGTCATCCCGGATGAGCAGGTCCTAAGTGACATTGTTAAGATTGATACGAACAAAAACGATGTGAACAAGGACTCGACATTCCTCTCCTCCATCGAATCCTCCATCCAGGACGCCGCAACCGATTTCAGAAATGCCCTAGACGAGGCCCTTGAGCTCGCCTCCGATGCGTTTAACACTCAGCGGCTGCAGTCCAGCGCCTCCGAGGCCGCAGATTGGGTCACAAATTTCTTCGATCATCCCATCGACGCGGAGAATCTTCCCAAAGATCTCAAGCAATTGCCGCAGGACTTGCATCCACGTCGACCTTTCCCCCCTCACCATCCCTCCTTCAACAAGACCATCTACGAACTGATCAAATCCAGCAAGTATACCACCATCCTCGCCAAGTTCGTCGACGAGGATGACGAGCTGGTCCAGTTCTTGAACAGCACTGAGGCAAATCACACCTTCTTTGCTCCGACTGACGAGGCATTCTCAAAGATCCCGCATCACCATCATGGCCGTGATCACGACCACGACCACGACCATGAGCACCCCAAGATCCCCAAGGAGGTTATCCGGACCATATTCCACTACCACGTCGCACCAGGCCTCTACTCGGCCGCAGATATCTTCCACAGCCACACCGTGCCAACCACCCTGAACGAGTCCACTCTCGGCCATGATCTGCCCCAGCGCCTGGCCGTCCGTGTAGGGTGGAAGGGCCTGACGCTGAACTTCTACAGCCGCATCGTAGCCGCGGACATTGTAAGCTCCCCGATCCACAAGTGACAACTCA